TTCGGCTGTCAACATTCGTCAACGCATTCAGTAAATAGTATATACTACTGAATGAGAAAGTGATTTGAACTGTGAAGTGAAATGAGACGAAGTGAATGAGAAAAACTCATGAAGAGAACGGTAATCACATGCAATAGCTATGAGAGTGAATAGAACACGTCTGAAAAGAATGAGAATCCATATGAATCAGTTTGAAGGATGTCATAGACAATAACTATTCATGCAATCATAATATACTGCAATACTGAGAAACACAACGGTCTAAAAGAAAGCCCGGCAATGTTCATTACCATCATGTACCTGCCAGAAGTGTCAACCTGCAGTTCGTGCTTGGATTTCACACAGTTGAGGCCATCAATATTATTCAGTGCTAATAATATTGAACTTAATGGTCATCTGAACATAACATATGCGAATCCCATATTCAAAAAAAGAGGGGAGGGATAACGGCGGCCTGCCAGGTCTTCAAAAGAGGTAATGGAGCACCCGAATGTGAGAACCACCGGCTTAGCCAGACAAAGGTCACTGAGCGATTTTCTTGATTACGGGTATGAACTAGCAGTGACATTGAGATCATGCTATTGAGCAAACTCATTTGATGGTGTGCACAATGTAATCAGTCAATGCGGTATTCCGTGATTATGATTCAGTGTAACTGTAATTCATTTTGAAGGTTCGTGTTGTGCCTGAAGAAGAGCGACTGAGAGGTGAATTTACTCGAACAAGTGATGTAAGTGACGACACGGCCGTATTGCAGACCGTATTCACGCAGTTGAGGCCATTCACTGCTTACCGAGTTTATGTGTCTGCTTATACGATTGTCGGTCAAGGACCTGAAAACAAATCAGCACCCCTCATACAAACTGGAGAAGATAGTGAGGATCATCATCAGTTGTTAATGCATCCGTTTATTTTCGGTTCATTTGCATGACTTTACTTATAATTAGAGTTATGCTCCTCATTTGCCATATTCGTTTAATTGCATCATGCAGTTTGTGAACTCTCCTCTTATAGCAATTAAGCATTTGTCAATTCTCTGAATTGATCCAATTTTCATCTTCTCTTTTTTTAACCATTGTTTTTAGAAAACAGCTCAGTTTGCATTCAATCGCTCGTGTTTGTTTTTTTTCATAAGATAGAAAATCCTTCGCGTTTTGATCTGTTGATAGCGTGAGTTGTTATAGAAGATAAATAAGAGAAGCAGTAGGCACGTATTACTCATTACTCATTCAGTGGTAAAAAAANAAAAAAACTTCATGAAATCATTACAAAAACTTCAGCACCTGGTGAGCCATATGGGGTTGCTTTTTCCTACATAAGTGAGAGTGAAGTACGTTTGAAGTGGATGCCACCGCTAAATCCAAACGGACGAATTCTCAAATACGAAATCGCTTATTGGAAGGTCTCTCGTTTAATATTTTGTTGATTTGCCTCATAAGTTTAACTTTTTTCAAATCATCTAATATTTTTGTGAAAATTGGTGTCTTCAATAATGAGTTTTCCTACAGCCTGGAATGAAGCAAGATGCTTTGAAAATTTTACTACCATACAATGTTTTTGGATTCTCGGCCACTGGTTTACAGCCAGAGACTCGGTATTTGTTCGCCGTCTCTGCAGAGAATAGTATCGGATGGGGATCGCAGACTGTTGTGACCGTTGTGACAACGCTAACAAGAGGTAACTATACGATAGTATTCATATGATGTGATTTTCAGTTGTAGCAGTTGATTATAATGTCGTTCATGAATGATTTGATATTATGAAAATAAGTAAACAAAGTTTTAGTACCGCCACCATCAGCCCCACAGCCCTATCGTAATCCAGCACGTGTCCAGTCATCGACGTCAATCTATTTGAAATGGTCTCATCCATCGTTACCCGATGATGCGGAGGATGCCATCTCACCCGTTCGTTCTGTGGATGTCGAGTATCAAATGCATAATTCAACTAAATGGATATCTCTCCCAAACGCTATACCAGCATCACTCAATGAAGTCACTATCAACGGGTAAATACGCTCCTGACTTAAATAGAACAAATATATTGTTTTGATGAGACAGCTTAGCTAGTTCAAGTTGTTTGCCTCGAAAGGTCAATACTGTGGTCTCTAAGCCCACTTACGGGCACAGTTCGGTGGAAGTTAAAAGGTTTTATGAATGTTTAGGGAAGCACGAACGTTATGGCTTATGAACGAATGGATTTTAGATTATGAATAACATTTTTCATAGTTCTGTGATTCAGATTGCACCCGGATACACCATATCGCGCACGTATACGTTTAGTTTGCGATTTTGCACAGAGCAGTTGGTCACTGGAATCGCAATGGGTCAAAACACTTGAAGCAGGTTCGTTTTTGGATCATTCCATTCAATCGAATCGATCAATTCCAAGTGTCGATGCGCAATTTGTTGCTAATTTTGAAAATTTCTGAAAATTTTACTGCGATAAGCAGCAGTTCGTTTCAATAATATGATCGCTCAATACTTTGATAAACCGTGTTTGCGTTCGTGAACTCTAAAAATTTAGTCGCTTTCGTTTTCATGTGCCACATTCAATGCGTTTTCTAAGCTGTGTGTCATGTTTTAGCACCCTCTTCGGCACCGTCATCCATTCAAGCGTCACCCTACGAATCATCAGCACTTCTGTTACAATGGTCACCACCACATCGCAGCGATTGGAATTCGGATAAGATCACCTATCGCATTCTCTATCGACCGTACCCTTCAAACGAAACATTCGGCATTGAGGACGTGACCACCACTGAAGAGACGTTACCAAGAATGCAACATATTATTCGCAGACTGCAAAGGTACTGCTAATTTCGAAGCAGTGATGAATTTGTTGTAAAGCGATTTGTGCTCATATAATAGTTTGAAATATATGAATGTCATTAAAAGAATGAAGAGTGAATCAACAAAATTGCATTTTACCAATGACAGTTATTTTCCGTATGCGTTTATCAGATTTATCTGAACACACGGATTGTTTGTCCTGAATGATGATAAATTTTCAGTTTCCGGCACTATATTGTGCAGATGCAGACAGTGAATGAGAAAGGCGTCAGCGAATCATCCACACCAGTGTTCGTCTATGTTGGTTACTCGATTCCGAAACGAAGAGTCACAAATCTAGTCGCTGAACCGTTGTCATCAACCGCCGTTCAGGTTCGTTGGGATCCGTGGATAGCACTTCCAGACGACGTGATCTCTGGATTCCGCATACGATACACGCCAATCGTACCGATTCTATCCGATGAACAAAACTTGGAAGAAGTGATTGTTGCCGAGAACAATACGGCCAGTATTGTGGAAATGAGAAAATTCACTGAATATCAAGTTAGTTATTCCGTAGAATCGATCTTATTTGAAGGGTATTAAGACGGGATTATATGTTGAGCAGATCTGCATAACTTTGACGAGCATTTTCAAAGGCATTTCCTTGTGTGATACCAAATGATTGAAATTTACATTAAATGTTGCAAATAAAAAATGTTATCCCAAATGTATTGAATTAAAATGCAAAGCAGTTAGCCGCTTCAAAGCCTGATCAAGGTTTTCAAATAATTATTTGAAAAATTGGACTCAACAGATCAGTTTGTATTTTGAGAAATCGTTAGCATTGATCATTATTTTAGATCTCGGTGGTTGCTTACAATCGTGCTGGTGAGGGAGAAGCATCAGTGGTGAGAGTGACAACAATGGAAGATCGACCGGGTGTCGTTGGGCATCTCAAATTCTCGGATATTCTTCTGGACTCGGTGAATGTTAGCTGGATGCCACCCAGTGAGCCGAACGGCCGAATCCAAGCTTATATTGTCAACTACAGAACGTTTAAACTGCGAGTAAGTGAGATGCTCTATAACCAATGAACCTAAAAAAAATACTTGGAAGGTGATACGCTTGTGTAGCTGTCAGATTATAAACACTCCAACATTTCTCTTTCGCGCATCGAATTCGTTTATGCTGCGATCAAGAATTTTGCACACTTTTATGCATGGAATATGGGAAGAAGAATAGCTTGAGCAGAATGAAACGAAGCTTGAAAATCGTCATTTAACATCTAATTGAACGCATAGTCGATAGAGGCGATGAAAGTCAAGTTGGAGTGTTTAAATAATTCCGTTCCAGGAGGAATTCAAGAAAGAAGTCCAAGAGAAGACCACTGAAACGGAAATCTTGGTTGAGAATTTGGAAGAGAATGTGACGTATTTCTTCACTGTAAAAGCTGAAACAATAGCTGGTTACGGTGAAGGATTGACGGGTAATGTCACAATCGGACCAAATCCAGGTGAGAATTTGCATATTTTCAGTTGTCGTAAGTGTTAGCGTTGCCATTGAATAGGATTATCGGTAGTCTTATTACTATTATTAATATCATGTATGATTTTCTAAAGGATGTCCTGAAGCTCCAACGAAACCGAACGTTATTCCTGGTCAAATGTCAGTGACTCTTCAATGGGACGACAAATCGCATGGCGCATCGCTAATCAAAGCGCACCTTATACAGGCTAAACGAATTGCACGCGCTAAGGTTTTCACTATGTTGCCATTATCAGAAAATCTTGTTGTTCTTCTCAATGTTTCATTCAGGCAAATTTGAAATAACTGAGAACTGTAATGCTTCTATATCACATTCTCAATTCATTTTTTAATGAAGTGATGGTGAATTGCACAAATTTGAGATAAAATTGAGCCGAAATGAAACAAAATTGTGAATGAAATTGACTGAAATAAAATAGAACTGGAACATTCCTCCTTAAACGACGTATTTAACCTTTGTTGACCAAAAACCATTTGCAAATATTTTATTAGGCAAACAGATGTTGTAATTTTATTATTTGAAGCATTTCATCCGTTCAGCAGTTGAAGTGAAATTCACCATTTCAGGACTTAGCAGTGACAAATAAGAACTTTGTGTCTGAACGGAGCCATCGTGCGATTCGATCAAATGGTCGTGTAAGTCATGTAATTGGTAATTGGGTGACAATTGCAAAGGTTCGAAATGCGAAACCGACCTACGAAATCAACTATCGGGAACTTGAACCGTCATCACTCTATGTTTTTCGAGTGTTCGCCGTAAATTCGGTCGGCATCGGATATGCCAGTCCTGAAACCGAACAGCTTCACGTGCCAGGTATCAATTCACTGTCTTCATGTGATCTCGCAAATATAACCTTACCTTAACCCGTAGATCATTTAAAAATATTTGATCAGACAAAGAGATTTTTCATCATCTAGTTCGATATTTTCATGGAATATGAAAATTTTGCTTCAACACTGCACCAGAAAACAATAGATTGTTAACCAGATAAATTGTTAAACAGATATTGTATAGATGCCTATATCTACAAGATTATCAGTACTTGTGCGACAATTTACTATTGCAGCTACACTACCCGATGAACCGTTTTTCACGAAATGGTGGTTTATCGTAATGATTGCAATGCTGACATTTGTGGTGGTTATTTTGGTTGTCGCACTGTTGTGCATCACTGGGAGTCGATATAAGGATGAAAAAAGAAACTCGGTAGATTCACTTCAACTTGCTGATGGTGGAATTGTGAGTTATGAGTTGAGGGCATCGAAACGGCGAAATTTGCATCATACCAGGTAATTCATTGCCTCATCTTCACTGATCCACTCCAGCGTTTCGACGATTTCGTTTGTACACGTTCTCAAGAATCGTTGAAGTGTGAAGACAGCAATACAAAATTCGATACTTTTCAAACTCAACTTGATATTTGGTTCATGGAGGATTTTCATTTTATGCAGATATTGTTTTGTTTCATAATGGCTTAACGTTAAAGAGAATCATTTCAGGCATGATCTACCGATTCGTCCGAACACAAACACATCGTGGATATCGGATGCCCGTGAACCACCCGCATACGGTAGCATTGTGGATGTGGATTCGGCTGATCGAACAACAACGAATATTTTCGGAACGCTTGCAACCGATCTAATGCCATCGTCAGTGACAAATTCAGCACGAACTGCCGGAGGGACAACCGGTACGGCTGGGTCATCGAATTTACTTGCGATGGGTATTGGACGACCGTTGTCCACAAATACAACATTCATAAATCAAGATTCGATGTTTGATAGTTTCTCTGCAGACGGTGAAGGGACGCTGGATAATGATGATGATGAAGAGGCGAGTGGATATATGGAGAGAGAGACAAGTATTGGTATGTTTTTTGACTGATAATAAACAGATTGATCCAGTGGAAATGAATTCATCAATTCATTTAATTGCTGCTGTTTTGTCATTTCGGTCTTGTCGTGTTTAGCAAATTATTTGAACGTTTCCATCGCAATAAGCACATTTTCCGACTTCTGATTCAATTTCATCAATCTTCCTCGTGCGAATTTATCACCATTGTATTTGTCAGTTAGCCATTGAAGACTATCATCCATAGCTCGAAGCAAAGCAATTGAATGCCACTGTTGTTATATTAAGAGTCGTTAACTGTTCAAATCATCGTTCCAATTTTCAAGAGAGCAACTGAGTTGTTACCAGCATATGTGTGTCACAAAATGTTCATTTTTGACGATGACTAATTTAAGCGCAACACTACGAGCACGAAGATGCGTATCGAAGTACATGGCGAAAAGCACGAGCCGAAGCGATCGCAGAATCCGCACCCGTGGTAAATGCTCAGTCGAACAACAACACTACAGCAACAACACCAACTCTGATTGCAAACAGCAATTATTCAAGACCTGGATCGAGTGAAAGCAATCGCTCTGAATTGATGATGATCACTACGGCACGATCAAATAATAATCAATCCTCTCTAATGAATGGCTTTTCTTCATTCGTTTGAAATTATCTTAACTTATTAATTTATTAGCACAAGTGACGGACGATCTGACACCAGATTTATCACTTTCCTAAGGAATTTGCCTCATAGTCACAAACGCATTCTTCAGATATCATAGTTCCTTAAATCTCAAGACATGTATATCATTGAGCTATCTAAATTGTTAGGTAACTCTGGAGTTGTGATGAGAGAATTCATTTGTGACTTGGAAACGGTGATTTTGGTCTAAATGTTTCGAAATTCTTAGGAATCAACTGCTAATCTGGAATTTTGAACCACTCTCCCGGTATAGCGTTACATATTTGTTGTATATAAACTTACTTAATGTATATAGAGCCGTACAGCTCAAGCTGTAGTTTCTGATTGGATGGAATGCGTATAATTGAATAATACTGATTGTATGTTGTATAATTTTGATGTGTATTTATGAATTTAATTGTATTATCTCGATATGGATCAACCGTTGTTGCTATTTTCACTACTATGTCATCATTATTTGCATGAATTGTCTCTTAGACCATTGCTAATCGTCTTGCCCATCCCATCAAATAATCTGTTCCAATGTGCCTTACAAATCCACTGCTCTCTAATTGACATGACTTCTTCTATCATTCCCTTCCACCTAACAAGTTTATTCATCACAGAAAACCGTCCAAGACGCATCATTCCTCCTTACCATATGCTTATCATTGCATTTTCTGAAATGCAATCTCATTTGTGATAATTGTCTTATATTGTATAATTATTTCTCTTATAATTCTCAAAATTTCATTCGTTGAAAAGTCTCTTATCTTCTTTCCTCAATTATTGTTCAAAAATGTTTTCGTCGTATATGTTATTGAGACTAAAAAGAGCTATGGTTGTATACTGTGGTTCGCGCGCTATTAGTGGTACGGTGGAACGAGGGCACATCATTCGGTCAACTTAACCTGTTTTAAGTTTAGCGTGAGCATAAACCCAAACATGAGTCCCAGTGTAAGCCCAAACTAAGACTAAGCCTAAGCCTGACTCTGCTTTAAGCAGATGAAGCTAAACTGCATTTTGATTATATCTTCAGTACCGTATGTCAACACATCGTACGACTACCGTATTTCCTATTTTTCTGATCATACTGGCATGTGCGAAGTGATGATTCCTTTGTCTCACTGTGCCACTCGTTTATCGATGCGAACCTCAGCTGATGTTTGTTAAACAATGTCTGATCTCTGTATTTTGTATGTATCTTATTGATGCGTTGTTGAATTCGTTTTCGCAGAAGTTATTATTAATAAATGATTATTGCATTTCATCGAATTTGAAGTGATAATTCTCATTGTTTCATTGTTCAGGTTGTTATGAGTGAAATAAAATTGTCACATTGGTCAGTTAAATGCTTCTACTGGAACACTGTTTTTGTTGTACGAAAACAAATGGATACTTACGACAACGAGAATATTGAGCTTACATTAAGAAGAGGGTGGGCACTTCATCCATGCCCAACCCAGCCAACTTGATCCCATTTCCCAGGCCTTCTCTTTCATCCAGGGAATTCCCTCTCTTATCTCCAATTCCATCTTACTCTGGGGTAAATCCTGGTTTCTATCAAGGGATCCATCCCTCTTCTCTCTCGGGTGAACCTTCCTCGCTCCGGATGAACCCTCCTCCATATCTGAGGAGCCTTTTCCCTCTTTCGTGGGAACCTTCCTTCCTCCCGAGGAAGTCTCTTCCTTCTTGGCAGAGAACTAACTAATTACTCATTTGTTACTGGGGCTTTACCGAACTCTGGACATGATATTCATCTTCAACAAAGCGAATGGATATATGCTATATGTCGTTTCGTTTTTAACATGATAACACGATCGAAGTACGCGTTATAATTCAACATTTTCGAAGAGAATCACTAAGAAATGTTTTAAAGTTGAAGGAGAGAATGTTACGAAATGAAACACGATTGCTGGCTCCGTACAAAACACTCGGAGAAGTGTGTTCGTCGATAGCACCAGCATTTCGAGTGCTACCCACACAACGGCGAATCACTTCCATTCTCTGTGCCATCGACAATGTCATCGTTCAGTACTCAGCCGAACGTCTACGTCTCGTTTCGATCAGTGACGCTCTACCTGCAACCATCAGTTCAGTGGCTGCCGATAAACGATATGTCTATGCGGCTTGTGCTAATCGTATTGCTGTACTACATTTGTCCAGGTTCATTGAAATTTCGTTTTGTTCACTTAAAATTTCCACAAATTCCTCTCCAAAGCTTATGTGAGTGAACATAAAGGTAGAGCGATTTGTGTTTTGCAAATTTTTAAAAATTCTGCTCGGTTATTGGACAGTTGGGATTGCCAGAATCTTGTTCATTGAGCGAGATGAAGATATTCGTAACTTAAGTGCCATAACTACCGTTAAATTTTTCGCTAAAAGTACTGATGTATTACTAGATTAGGCTAGTTTTATTGTGGTTTCAAAATTGTTGCGTTGATGCTCACTTTTGCTAGATAATTACGTAGTTCAGGTTGCTGAAATCTTAATTGTTGAATGCGATCAAGAAATTTTTCATCTATACTGCACAATTATTAGTAATGTTTTGTGTGGGCATAAACTGAGAAATTCAAGGAACTGGATTCAGCTCTTTGTTAGATTATTGATGGAATATTGAATTCATATGCATATGACTTCACGATAATTACAGACAAATCAAACGATGGCTAGACGTTGATAATCAAATTCTTATGATGATTCCATTCGGTGAAGTGATTATTGTGATCGATGTGTCAAGTTCGGTTCATGTGATCGATGTAGAAGATGGTTCAAGAGTATTACAGATTGATTCTGACCAGCAGTTCTGCATCAGTGCTGCCACTCATCCTGCAACTTATTTGAATAAAATTATTGTCGGTTCCAAACTCGGTAATTTGCTTTTTTTTATTTTGAAATAGCTAGCTGCTTATTCAAACAGGTGACATCTCTGCCGATTATTCACATAATCTGCTAATGAATAATTTTCACCGTCAACTTTACACTTGTGCGTTTTTGGCTAAGTGCGATTCGAATACTCGAAAGTTTCTCACTGAAGTTTCTCCGTGTTGATTTTGTTTCTCCTTATTCGCTCATCGACATTATTTTGCAGGCAAATTACGTCTGTTGAACGTGAGGACTGGTAAATTAGTGCACGAATTCGAAAAGCAGTTTGATGATGAAATAAGCGTGTTGCAACAATCAACGGCCATCGATGTATTGGCGGTGGGATTGAAGAATGGCAAAATTCATTTGCATAACTTCAGAACTGATGAAACGCTTCTCACATTCACTCAAGACACTCCAGTAACAGCGATTGCTTTCAGGTTGCTTTCCTGTCGCACACTTCTTGTTCTCATTTTAACCTAAATTATTTAAAATATGTCAAGTTCAATTCATGTGATCTATATAGAAGATGAGTCGAATTGTTGTTCTGGCATAATGGTGGTGGAGAAAAAAACTGAATTTTTTACAAAGCTTTCAAAATAAATTCATTACTCACTTGTAAGTAATGTTTAGTTGAAAGAATGATGATGATGCAAATAAGCCACAGAAGTGATTTACACAAAACAAACAGAATAATTGATGAGTGCTGCGAAACAATTGAATTTTTGTTCAGAAGTGACGGCGAAGATTCAATGGTGACATCTGGTGAAAATGGCATGCTGGCGGTTTGGGATCTGAATGAACGCCGTCTCATAGGACAGTTACCAAACGCACATCAACAATCCATCACAGCATTGTACCATTTGAGTGGTGAACCTTTGATGGTTTCGTCAGGTGCCGATAATACTTTAAAAACGTGGATATTCGATATGGGTGATGGTATGCCCAGACAATTGGTTCTCTTAGAAGGGCATTCAATGCCATTAACTGACTGTAAATTCAATGGTTCTCATAGGTAAATTTTCTGATTATTTCTGTTTTTTGGAAAAAAATTTTCATTGTTGGAGATTTTTCAAACGAGGGAGATGTTAATGCTTCAAATGTGAAACGGCGAGATTGAGGGGATTGCTAAGCGAGTGATATTAGGAGTTGGTGCTTTCCGAGAGTCGTTTCATTCATTCTCTTTGAACAATTGATCAGCGAATGTTCTATTTAACTAATATTCATAAAATTGAACCTGAATAACGGCAGTGTCATCAAGATGGTATTTGTTAATCAGTTGCGATTGTTTAAGTGTTTTATCATCTGGCTTAGATGGTTCCTTACGTGCCTTCTCAGTNATACGCGATACACATCGTCAAAAGCTCGGCAATGCGGGTATCGTTTCAAGGTATCTATCGATCTCTGTGACCATTTCATTCTTTTCTGGACTTCAATTTTGTGATACATTTACGAACTGTTTTACCACCCCATTCTTTATATAACCACTGATGGTTGTACCAATGAAACTGATCAGTTGCTCAGTTACCCAGTGCTCAGTAACTCGAGTCATGAGATGAATTATGAATCAATTCGTTTCAAATCGCAATTGAAGGGCAGTTGCAAAGAAGAAGAAATTGGATTTGAAAAGTATCGAGATGAATGCAGCATGTGAGATGGCGATTGGGGGCGCAAGGGAGGCTGCCTGGGATAACGTTGTATGCAGACATATCAATAGTCCCATCGTTACGTCTTGGTCAACACGTAAGCAATCTCTTGGCAAGCACCGCGTTCGTATCACCTTATTTTTTAGTTGATCTTCTGTTCACCTTCTATTACAATCAGTTGTTGTTTAACTTGTTAAAGCTTTTAGCAAAACAAGTGTGCAAGTGTCAGCAGTACTCTTTTAAAACTTCTGGTTATTCTACAAACATTACTGTTGTTGTTGAAAATTGTTTTCGTAGCAAACGATCCAGTCTTACACTCAAGAAAAAGCGTAGAATGTCATCGCAATTGTCCTGAACGAGGCTATTTTTTCGAATATTGTCCAAAACTCAGTCATTAATCGTGTTATCCATCCGAATATTAGTGTTGAAGTTTAGTAGCAGCAAAAATTTTGATGGAATTTCAGTTGTTACATAAACGTTTCAACGAGGATCCGTCACTGTCGATGGCCTATGCGAGTGCGTTGTGTGTTAGTGGATGTGGTAATTTTGTGGTGATTGGCTATAGCACTGGTCATATTGATGCGTTCAACATTCAGAGTGGTTTGCATCGTAAAACTTTCGTGGCGAATCAAAAAACACAAACTGCACACTCAACTATCGTCAAGGGTATTGCGTTGGATGCACTCAATAAACAAATGGTATGTGCTCTTTTTAGGATTTGGCTGTTAGTTTTTAAGATGTCACAGTTCAAAACGAAACAGTTTTTTCATTCGTCTTTTAGTAACTTTCCATTTTCATTGTATTGTTGACACCCATCAAGTTTATTTATGCATAATCACTCCATCGAATTTATTTATGACGTTACAGATCTCGTGTGAAGAGAGTGGACTGGTTCGTTTTTGGAATTTTACGAACTGTAAGTTAATGGCTGAGCTACGAGTGCCCGCAGCAATAAGATGCTTCAAAATGAGTGCATCAAATTCACTGTTGGCATTGGCGGTCGAGGACAATTCGATTGGAATTATTGATGCGTTGTGCAGACGAACGGCCAGAATTATGAGAAGCGCGCATCGTGCTCATATCACATGCGTTGAGTTCACACATGACGGGAAGTGGTTGCTGAGTGCCGATAAAGATGGCTTATTGAAGGTTGTTCATAATTTTTGATGATATCGTTGGAAATTCTCATCCAAAACAAGAAAACTTTCTTCCCTGATTTGCACTAGTGATTTCTGATCAATTCGGTCTCTGTGCTGGAACGGAATAAAATTATTGAGATGTTGAATGTATCAAGAGAGGATTAGATCCAGTAGTTTTATGGCCCAAAATTTGGAATTGAATTCATTGTTCAGTCGGAAAATTCTTTTTGAAGAGTTGTTCATTGAAAAGTGTGAATGCTATTTGTGTATGAAGTATAAACGATGGATTTGGATGATTTGAATGAATAATTTTGTTTAGATATGGGATTTAGTGACGAATTGTCTCATCGATGTGATGCGATGTACGAGCCATTGTGTTTCGATGAGTTTCTCACCAGCAGGCGAATATTTGGCGACTTGTCACGACGGACAAAAGGGAGTCTTCTTGTGGGCCAATAAAGCACTCTTCACTGCGGGCATTCATATTAAAGCGTTACCGATCGACTTTGTACCTTCCGAAACGGTTGCATTCCCTCTGACAAGGTATGACCGATCTTACTATTCAATTGACTGAACTCATTATCATTATTACTCCGATTCCTAATTTTCATTGTTTTGATCATTTTCTTGTTTTTTTTTTCAACGTAATGTGATGTACGTCAATGTCTTGATCGTTGATTACAATCCAATTAGGAATTTTTATTGATATTATGCTCAGAATTGCAATGATTAATGTTTTAAGAATTTGCGATCTATCTGAATTGATATAGACGACATCATTGGCTTAGTTTCTGTTTGAGGAGTGATGTTGTGCAGGACGATGAAGTCGTTGAAATCGAAGATGAACAGATTTGTGACGAAGCTGCCGACAAAGAATCAAATACTATCAACGATCTTATAACGTTGTCTGGATTAGCGCCTCCTCGATGGGCGAATCTGCCGAATTTGGATGTGATTCGTGAACGAAACAAACCAATTGAACCGCCCAAAAAACCGAAATCCGTACCGTTCTTCTTGCCATCCACATCGACTCTCGAAGGATTCGAGTTCGAAAAAATGGACAGCGCAGAAAACGAAGAAGAGGAAAGGCGAAAAACGATTATGGCAAAAAGAAGTCTTCTGGAAACAGAGACGTCGTTTGCATCTTCTCTAATGAAGTGATATTTTTCTCAAAATTATTTTGTTCGATTTTCTTAAAGCATTTAATTCAGTGCAGTAGACACGAAGGTTTACGTAAGTTCAGTTTTTGGTGATCTTGAAAGGAATTGTTTTAAACGTCATGTATGTATGATGTCGAGGTAAAAGTTGGAATGTGAGGGGAATTATCCGTTCTCTGATGTAAGAGCTGGAAATAGCCGAGCCATTTGAAGTGACTGAATGAATGCTTATGTAATGTCAAAATAATGAAATGTATTCAAAACTGATATTTTATATAAGAGCGAATACTGAAGAGGAACTTAAAAGGTCGTTCGACTTGTTAAAATGGATGAATATCTCATCAATAGATTTTCAAATTCGGACACTTCCACAAAGAGTTCGTTAATTTTGTTAATAAAATGTATTTATTTGCAATTTTATTTGCAAAAAATTTGTTTATTTGCAATTCCATGTTGAGTGTTCTTTTTTTGAAACATTTGTACTCGATTTCTCGAAATTAACAAGGTGTCTCAGTAATTACCATCTCATTTCAGGCTCTTTCGTCTTTCCTTCGAATGCTTTTAGCAGTTTTGCGAAGTGAACGTGATTTCGAATTGGTGCAGTCGTATATGGCAACTTTTTTGAAAATTCATCGAAATGTTTTGTGGAGTGATGAAACTGGCGATGACTTGGAAATAAGCAAGTTACTGGAAGATCTGTTGAATGAACAGAAACGATTGTGGTCACCGTTAGACGCGCTGATCGCCGACAACTCTGCAATTATTCAATGGACCAAATCCGCACTCATTTGATATCAGAGTTTTTCTTTGGTTCATCTTTGATTGTCGACGTGTTCTTTCATATTAAGAGATTGCAAAGGAATATATTCGTAAGTGTGGCTGAGGAATATGGACATATTCAGAGAACGTTTCGCATAAAGGATCTATTCTTCAGTTGAAATCTTTGAAAACTTATGAGTGAGCTGTAAGAATGGGAATTCATCATCTGATTAATGAGATAATGCAACAATCGTTTTTCTTATTGTTGCGTTCATGTCAAATTGTTATAATTTGCTTTTTTCAGAGATTTTTGTTATTTTTCACAATGTTGTTACTATTCAAATATCGTTGTTGTTGTTACTGTTGTCGTTTTTTGATAGTAATTTTTTCACTGGATTGTTGTTATTGTGGTTGTTGTTGTGTTTTTGATGTTGATTATTGGTTATTGTTGGTCTTACTATCAGAGTTTGTTGCTAGAGGAGAATGAAAGAATATTTATTTTCGATCAAATAAGCGTTTGTGTTGAATCGAAACGCAAAACATCGTCAGCGCTTACAATTAGAGAAGTGCAAATTCATGTGAGTGTTAGTACACTAATAGGAAGCGAGTTTGAAGTTTATTCAAATTGTTTAGCGGATAATATCCGCGGTTGAAAACAAGCACAATTATAAGATTGTTGATTAGGTTATGTCAATTAATTTATATATTACAGATAGAAGTGACCTCTGATTTGGATGAAACAAATTAAGTGAGTACCAACTACATCTGTTCGTTGAACTGAGTGGGTTCGGTGACTAATTAAACAATTCATTGAAAAGTTTATCGCATGCGTGGCTGAGCTCTGATCAGTTAAATCACGGATTATTAGTATCGCTCTTCTCTCACTTTGTTTACGCAATTGGCTGAAAGTCAGCTGAAAAAATACTAAATAACATCAAACCGCAGCCAAACGATTGCGGTCTGCACGAAAAAAACCTGCACTCCTTGGAAAAGATTCCAATAAGCCTTCAGATGAATGATGGAATCTGAAAAATCGCATTTTCTCAAACATACACTCCACCAAAAAAAGAAATATAGAAATTGCCTTCCTCCTCACCAGATTCTCGGCTCCAGTTTACACGTAAGCACTGGAACGATATATATTATCTTGAAATTATCCTCCTTGACTAGATTTTTTTTCACTTGGGCGGCTGAAACAGTCCTTCAAAGTGTTGTGACAACTGATTTAACAGGTTTGTATGAATGGGCAGTTATTCAGCAGCTTTATTGCAAATTGCATATTTCTGGGACGTGCTCAGTAATCTTTTTGCTGCCGTAAAAATTTTGAGGAAAAAAGCAGGAAATAGTCGATTTTCTGAAGGTACCTCACTTTGTCTCATTTCAGTACGCTGTATATCCATCGATCAATCTGCATATTACTTCACAGGCATTAGAGTCATCAATTCAAGATAACGTTGTTCTTGGGTTTGCCCGGCAACATGGTGGCTTCTCAACATCATCGAATTCCCCAGATTGTTTGCTCTCAGAAAAGTAAACATATTACTGGGCGATTTTGCTTATCTCCAGAAAAGTAGCTGATTTTCTGAAGGATATCAGTTGTTCAGCACCGCTTACTCCAATACACTACATCTGTATTGATAAATACATTCATTAGCTCAGCAGTTCGGGCCTAGCGCACTCTCAGCATTACCTAGTAACATATGACTTTATGTAAACCATTCGATCCAGCTGAGCCTCTAGATTTAGGAAAAACATGTTTTGTTGAGCAATCCTGCTGTCTTGAGAAAATATGGCTAATTTCCTAAAGTTATATCAATAACAAGCGCAAAGTCGCTCATTCACATACACTATCACAATAGATCAATATCAACGCAATACTATTGCTCTGTATTGGTTACCATCCTTACCATCTTCAAGGTACCCGTACTCTCAAGATTGCCCGATAACATATGAATTTATTTGCACCATTCAATTGCTCAGAATCTCAACGTTCAGAATGTCATAAATTTTGCGGAGCAATTATGATTAGATATGGAGATACAGCTATTTTTCTAATGCTATAGGGGTTGCCACATTTAAGCCTACCGTACTCTCAGCTTTCACCGATAACATATCAATTTCTTCACACTAATCGATCGATCAGAATCTCTGGATTCAGAAATATATAAATCTTTTTGGGCGATTCTGCTTAGTTGAGGAGATATAGCTATTTTATTAAAGCTATCTCAATTAGCGCAGTGGCGCTCATTGAAATGCATTGTATCACTATAGATCAATAGACACTACACATTACTACAGAAACATAGTTTTGATATATTCAAGCCAACCGTCTTCTCAGGTTTGCCAAGCAACATATTGATGTTTTTGCAGCGTTCGATCGCGCAGAATCTCTGCTTTCTGAAAATGAAAATATCGATGAAAAATTGCCCC